TTCTACCGATACTCTTGAACATCTTTGAAAGGTTTTTATATATGCAAATCGCTAAATATTTTGAGGAGAACAACTTATTCACAATTTCACAGTTAGGATTTAGGCAGGGCATGGGCACTAGTGACGTAATATTAAATTTTGTGGAAATGGCGCCTGTTTTGAAAATGGTGAGTGCAATCTTAGCAAGGCGTTTGATGCGTACAACATGATTTACTGTTACAAAAGTTAGGAAAATATAATTTTGAAACAGCCAGCCTTAACTTAATTAGATCATATCTCACCAACCGATCTCAAGCCGTTAAGTCTCAAGGAAGACTTTCAGAGAGAAAGAATCTTCTCTTTCTGATTTATGTTAATAATCTGGCAAGATAATATTGNTCATCGTCGCTGATGTCTTGTTCAGTATCGCTGTTATGATCACTTTCATTCAAGTTGTCTATTTCACCTTCATCACTTGAAATTTCATCGTAATCACCAATTTCAGACTGCACATCTTCCCACAAGGCAAGAAGTCTAGCTTGCTCCCGTTCAAAATCTCCCATTTTGATAACGATGCAATTCTGATAATAAAATATGTAAATAAGTTTAATTAAATCACACTATTTTGTCGTAAAATTTGTTTTATAACAACTAAAAAAAATAACATACCGTCAACTCACTTCTAACGTATTAAGTCTGATGGGGTCTGAGAAGCCCGATGATCAATTAGGTTATGATTTGAAGCACTTCTAGTACAGGGAGGCATAAACTACACTGGACTGCAGGTAGAATGACTCATTAGATGCAGCTAGCATGGATGCCAGCTTGTGCCATGCGATTGGTTTTCACAATGCAACACATTTAACATACCTCTGGGCCTGTAAGACCCCACCAGACTTCCGGAAGGTTAAACACAAGTTGTTTCATATTTTATTTGCCACAATAAGACAGCATTCAATTGTTTTTATTGCAGAAAACAAATGAGCAACGAATATCACTTGAAGTTTTTTAAATGGCAATGTACCCTTTCGTTAGGCTCATTTGATAGAGATTTTGATGAATGACATTAATCTAGATATCCGAAATCGTCAAGTACCTTGAAGTAGCTCGATTATTGGAGATCTACACTAATTTTTCGTTTATTTCTTTTATTTTGTATGTAAATTTAATTTACGGTAATAATTCGAGGTACTTGACGATCTCGGATATCTGGATTACTGTTATTGATTAATTTTTATTAATAAACAATTTTTAGATTTTTTCAAAAATTTTCTAATGTTAGGGTACAAACAACATCTCTATCAAATGAACCTAACGAAAGGGTACATAGCCATTTAAAAAACTCAAGTGTTATACGTTACTCATTTGTTTTCTGAATTAAAAACAATTGAGTGTTATTACGGCAAATAAAATATTAAACAAGTTTTGTATAAAATGTTTTTTGATAAAGTCAACATTTACCGAGATATATACTATATTCCATACATAATGGACACCTGTAGTATAACAGGGAGATTTCTAAATACACTACCTCAAAAAAGTTTCCTTACAAATTAAATTTTGAAACTTCTACAAAAAAAATTAAAGAAGATACACCTCCAAGGTAATGAAAAACTTGTTAAATTGATAAAGAAATGTAAGGAATTTGAACTGGAACATTTATTTCCAAATTGAACGTTTTTGGGATTTATAAAAAAATAAACTCAAGAAAATTTGTCGCAAAAATATTACTGTAGTTTGATGTCGTATTCGTGCCATTCAATTTTTGGATATTTATTAAAAATGAGTACAAGAAACCGTCAAATTTCACAAAGCATTCGAGATTTGATTGTTATTTCATGAAAAAATGGGAAATCACTAGGTGAAATTAGCAAAATTGTAAAAAAAAAACGCGTTTATCAGTGCAGTATACAGGGTGATTCACGTAAGAACCGACACAGAGCAGGGTCATGTAGAGTACAATAAATTAAGGTGATTTAACGCAACTTATCTCTATACTAAGTTGTACCCCTGAGGAGTTATAGGCCTTTAAAGTTGGGTCTTAAATTTTTAAAACATTCAATATCTTCGTAGTACATTAAGCTAGAAAAACCAAATTTGATATATGTTATGAGTATACCAAGGGTATTAATTGGTAGCAAGTTGAGACAAATTGAAGTATTTGAAAGGGTTGATTAAGGATATTTAATACATTATTACCTCATTTCATGTGGAATTTAATTCTAAAACCTTTTTTACTCTTATTATTATTGAAAAAAATATGTCATTTTCATAAAAACTTGAATAACTAAAGACACGTATTTCATTAATACTCCTATTACTTAAAATCATCGAAAATTCAGTAGTCGGCTGTGAAATTGTACTTCAAACTTGACAAATAGGTTATAAAGCCTTGTCGTCAAATATCTTTTGACAAACGAAAAAGTGCACAAACAATTCGAAATGTTCTCCACAAAAATGGATATCATCATTAAGCTAGGTGTCCACTTGAAAGAAACTTTTGAGAGTAACTATCGATATCTATTCTCAATTGTGTGCCCACTTGAGACTGTTTTAGCTCTTCGAGAGCTTCTATAAAACTTCCGAGAGCTTTCTCTTAGGACCGTGTCCACTAGTGAAATGTGTCCGTGCTATGGAAAGTAAAATTTATTTTCTTTAAGTGGTGTGTATAAACATGGATGTAAAAAAATTGCAAGTGCAATAGTGTTGTACAAAATTTTAAAAAAAAACAATAAACAGAAAAAAAATGAAATAAAAAGAAGCTGTTGGGTGAATCCATGGATTGAACGTAGATTAGAGCTGGGTGTCAACAAATATCAACATTCGTTATCAAATTGTTAGTTATTTGGCATGCTGTATTCACAAAAAAGTGAACTCGATTGCTTTAATGGCACTTATAAATGCAAACTATAAGTTTATTGTCGTGCACGTGATAGCTTAATAGTGGCTTGGCAGTATTTTGAAAAATTATTAGAAAATATAAACTTAAACGCCTCAATTGACAATTAATGAAAGACTAGATGTTGCAAATGAAGCAGATTCTTCTTATAGAAGACTTCACACTACTGCCAGAAGACGAAATACTGTTGGTAGAAGACTAGATATTGCTGGTAGAAGACTAGATATTGCTGGTAGAAGACTAAATATTGCTAGTGAAAAACTAGATATTGCAAATGAAGCACATCCTTCTTACAGACGACTACACACTACTACTAGAAAACCAAATACTATTAGCAGAAGACTTAATTTTACTGTCAGGAGACCAAATTATGTTGTCAGAAGACTAGGTATTACTAATGGTACAAATCCCGTTTAAGTTTCTGTCCAATACTTGTTAAAATTGCATTCCTCGCTTCCCGAATTTCTATGTTCTTTAGATTTGGTATTCCAAAGAACTGAATTTTCTTCATACACTTAATTGAAGTGTATGAAGAATATGTTCAAATATGTCTTCTGGGGACTATTTTCTTTTAGGCGTCATCTTTAAACGTGTTATATTGAGAAAACTCTCAGCAAAATTCGAACAGTCTTCGTTTTTTGACAGTTACTCTCACGATAGATAAATTGTGCGTATCCATTTGAGTACTTTAAATCTCAACCTGTTCACTCTCCGAAGGTTGGTGAGGACTCTCTGATAGTTATTCTCAGATGCGTGTCCACCAGGAAAAATAGTCTCGAGAGCAAAAATTTCAGAATTCAGATTTACACTTAAATCTGCGTTCAGTCATATTCTACATATTGTGGTTTAGGTGTAATAAATGTTTTCATTGTAAAATAATTGTAGTTACGTAAATCATTGAATTGTTGTTTCTTTAGATGACAAAAATTATTAAACCTGATGATGGGAATAGTCCCGAAACGTCGTTTGTAATGATTTAGACATAAATAGTTAAAGGAGGGAATGGTGTAATGATTTTATAATAAAAGAAGAATACTGGAAAGAAGTTGATAATAGAAAATATAGTATGAATAGTCTCTTTCCAACCTCTGGGAAAGAGACTGGATAATAGGAGTAAGAAATTTAACACATACTAGAAAAGGCTGCTAATAGGACATATGGTTTGAACAAAAACTGGAAGGAAAAGAAGGAAACAGCGCACAGGGATATTTGAAAGAGGCTAATTGTATGATAGCATTTAGAAAGTGAGGAAGAGGACTAGAATGAAATTGGTGATGAAGAGACTCGAAAGTTAAAAAGAGTCTGGCAGAACGAAAGGGTGCTAGAAAAAGAATATAATGATTTAACAGAGAATAGAAAAACACTAGTTATAGAAGGAAAATATGGGATTTTATTCAAATATTCGTTCGGACAATAAAACTGAAGATCCATGTGTGACAGATATTTATGTAATTCAGTGCCTATCTAAATGAACTATTCAGTATAAATAGCAATTTACGGACATGTGGGAGACTTACCAAGACGTTCGAAAGAAAAAATCACGTGAACTTCAATACTTACTTTTGTATAATTCACCATATACCACAGAATTAATTTTTTTAACCTCCAAGAATTAAACTCTTAATGCATGCCGACTATCATTCCTTTTACAGAAGCCAAAGTCATAATGGCTGACTCACCACAAAAGTGTGTGTGTGGCAATGCGCTCAGTATGACACTTCGGCGCGCCGAAACTCCTAGACTTGATATTGAGTTGGGTTTGTAAGTCGAGGACTGCCTGTATAGAGCTAAATTTTGATGAAAAAGAACTAAATTTCGATTGGTCAAAACCAAATTTAGCTGATCGGCTACTGCCCGTTCAATGGGTTAAGATCTATGATTTTTCTATTACATCATATGGGTTGGGTAGTTCTTGTTAATTTATAATAAATTTAATAGTTCAACTTTGCGACTTTTTCTTGGTATCGTCTCAAAATCTATTTTTGTATTGGATTAGTTATAGGATTATGGAGTTAGTTTAATTTCTAGATGGCAATATTAAAAATTAATTTTTGGGCTTAGTATAAATTCTAACAATAATACTCAATTTATTTAAATCAACTATTATTTAAATTCGTTTTAGATGTTACATGGAATAGATATTGGTGGAATTCGTTTAAAAGTAATGAAAGCTGAAGAACGCGACACTCAACCTAAACGTTTGAAATTAGCGTCGTTTGCAGATCCATATGAATAAAGGATATTTGTAAGTTAAATAAAAAACAAGACATAAAAGAATTAAAATATGGTAGTTATTATGATAGTTGAGCCAATTGTGATATTTTAAAAAGTATTTTTTATTGATATGAAATAATGAAAGGAATTAATTTTTAGAATTTTTTTAATACTGGGTTTTATTAATCACCTTTTTCTCCCCCACAGTACGACGACTAAAACTACCTACTAATTTGTAAGTACGTTGGACTTTTTACTGGACGATAACGCAAGGACGAACTTTTACTTTGTACTATTTTAAAAAATCGCTTCCGACAAGAAATATCTCACGTACGACTGCACAATATTTTTTTTTTTGTTTTCTTTTTGTATTAAGTTCACCAATAAATTTCGTTTAAAGACATATTTCTCTTTTTATCCTATACACTTATCCCCCGATTTACATGGAAGACAGGTTCTGCACAAAGACGTGTAAATTGAAATCTTGGATTTTGCTAAGTAAAATCGTGCAAAACGAAGAAAAATCCAAAATGTGCATGATTCAGTCATTTATTTAAGCAAAACAAAAGTAAGACATCTTGGAAAACTCAAAATTGTACTTAGTTCATAAAACAACAAACACATAAAAGTAATATAAGTAAGTACATGTTTAATTTATTTTACATTAAAAACAAAAAATGAAAAAATAAAGACCATTCAAATGAATTATAAGTTTAATCACTTTCATGAACTATCTCAATCTTTTCTTTTTGATAGGTATGATGTCACTCTCATCACTTAAGCTTGATGCTATTCTGGCTCACTATGGACAAATTAGAGAAGCTGATTGAAAAGAATCGGATTGACAAGACTTTGTCATGAAATCGGTAATTAACAATTGCGTAGGGTTTTTTGCTAAATCTTTATGGACATCTTCATATTGATTTAAGCATTTACGAAGGTCTCGCTGGAATCGGAGAGCTCGATCCACATTTGAGTCATATTGTATGAAATGTTTGCCCAATTTTTTTTCCCAATTGAAGTCCTACGCTTATGATTCTTGCTGTGAACGCAACTGGTTCAGATTGCTCTTCATCTGAGTCATTGTCTTTGTCATCATGTTTATTTAAGTTAATTAACCCTTTGTCGTCTGTTGGTACTAGAAAGTACCACCATATAAAATCACTTTTAAAACAGCAGCAGAGTTATATTTTTTCACATTCGCCTGTAGGAACCTCACAGTACTATATGATGATCGCATATAAAACGTAACTAGGGATAATACAACTAAAACTGAGGGATAATACATTTTTTATGGCATTTTTCATTGTTGTTTTTCTTCACCCTGATCTAATCTAAAATATGGTGGTTTAATCAATGTAGGTAGATCTTTCTAAAATTTTGCAAAGTGTCATAATTTTTCATTCTGAACAACTTTTCTTAATGAAATTTTGTCGTATCATAAACAAAATGCTTACTTTACCTGAACTAAAAATAGTTCAGGATGTGATAGTTTGTCCAAAAATTTGAAAAAAAATTTCTATCAACTTACCCTCTAAAATGCACCATTTTCAATATACAGGGTGTTGATATTTAATTAAAAAAATCGTTTTTTGCGAATATCTCCAGAACCGTTTATCCTACAGAAAACAGCGTTTCTAAGCATTTTCTACTCATAATAAGCTAAGCTTTGTGCGAGAAAAAATTTTTTTAAGGTCTTCTTCAGAAACTGTTTCGAAGTGTTCACTTAAGGTTGCAATATGGCATCCGAAACGTCAAACCTTTTCTTAAAAGACGCACGGCAAAACCCGAAAGTTTCTAGTGTTAGTTCTAATTTTAGTTTAATTCACACCGGCCGTGAAAGCCTTGGTACTTATTTTAAAGGATTTTTACTTAATTTTTTGAATTTTGTAAATTTTAAAATATTTTATGTTCAAGAAGAATTAGGTAAATTTTCCATCATGTTATAAATTATTTTAAGTAAGTATACCTTTTCAACTCCGATGCCTTTTTCTACCGTTTATTGTCGTTTCGTTTAACGTATTTGTTAATTTTTTCTTCTTTCCTATATTAGGTACTGAAGATGAAACATTAGTTTCGAAACATGTTTACTATGTATTAAATTAAATTATTTTAGTATTTCTCATAAAAACTTTTTTACTTTTTCCTACAGGTATATTTTTTAAATAAACCATGCTTTATTTAGCATTATTTAGCTTTATTAAAAAAAAAACATGACAAAATTGTTACTCTTAATGACAAAAGATACTTATAAGTACCGCTTAATTATCTAAAAATGATGAAAAAGAATTGAAAAAAATTCACAAACCTGTTTTGAACACTGAAAACAAAATATTTTTTAACAAAGTAAAGAATTTTTAATTTTTACTCATGTCAGGCAACAAAGGGTCAAATAATCTTCATTCAGTTCTTCATCAGCTATTATTTTTTCAAAATCTAATCCTCAGCTAAATCTTCAAAACCTTTTCCTCCTATGGCATGGGCCAACTCGGCGATCTGCGAATATTCATGCTTTATGGGTGACTTTCACTTTCAACATCCGGCCATACTGCTTTCCAGCAGGCGTTGATTGTTTGATCTGATAATGTTTGAAATTCCAACATGTTTGCCATTATAGAAACTTAAAAAATGTACGCAACCTATAAAGATACCATAATTTCCATAAACGTATATATTTTACAACCCCGGGAATCCCCCCCTGTTCTTTTCATCCGTGTAAATGCAATATACAAAAATGTAGTTCCATGGAAACCAGGGCGTATCTACTTACTTTGTCACACATAAAATGCAACATGTTTGAATTTTTTAGTTCTAGGGTCAGTGGTAGGTAGCGCTAGTTAACATAAGATATCACTATGTTGCATATTTTTATTGAACTAAAACTAACGCTAGAACGTTTCGGGTTTAGTCGTGCGTCTGACTAACACAAGACCTAGAACTAGAATCATTCGGGTTTAGCCCTCTTAGACGTACGGCTAAACTCGAATGTTTCTAGTTCTAAGTCTAGTGTTTGTTCTGATTGGGCTAAAAATGTGTTACGTAATGAAACTGGTGCAGTAATGAACTTCATTACGTAACGCAAATCACCTCAAATGAGTGTGATAATGATGACTTATCCAAGCAGTCGTAGAAAATAGTTATTTATATTACAAGTGGGTTAGAAACATAATTACTACGACGAGATCGTGTAATCACACGAGTACTATAATAATACTCTAGCTCACGTGTGATATACAACATTTTATCTACGACTGCAAAAATTACTTAAAAATCAATTTCTTTAAAAAGGTCTATTTTGACATTTATAAAAATATTTTGAAATGATTGTTGACAATTTTGAATTAATGTCAGTTTCAATAACATGTTTACTCATCTGGAATAAGTGTTTCNATATACCGCTCGGGGAAATCCCTTATTTTGTACTTTAAAGCACATTCAATATATCGTGTGTTTTAGAAGAAAAATTGTACAATTGGTTTCTTAAAGAAAGAGAAAAGAATTCACGAAAGCAAAGCCAAACATATTATTATTACTTATACTTAATAAATCAACAGCATTTTTTAACGAATTCTTTTTGTCACATCATTTTAACTATGCCTTATTTTCGGAGGATGTCTTATTTTATAAAAAGTTCCGAAAATCGATTGGGCTTATTTTTTTAAAAAGACGGTAATAGTTATTTATATTACAAGTGGGTTGGAAACATAATTACTGTACGAGTGCGAGTACTATAATTATACTCTAGCCCACGTGTGATATACAACATTTTATCTACGACTGCAAAAAAGTACTTAAAAATCAATTTCTTTAAAAAGGTCTATTTTGACATTTATAAAAATGTTTTGAAATGATTGTTGACAATTGTGAATTAATGTTAGTTTCAATTACATGTTTATTCATCTGGAGTAAGTGTTTAGAAATGTAAAAACATAACAATTAATGTTTATAATAAATAGTATTGTTTCTCTTTAAATAGGTAGCACTTTTCCTTTTGTATTGTCGCTNTAATTTCCATAAACGTATATATTTTACAACCCCGGGAATCCCCCCCTGTTCTTTTCATCCGTGTAAATGCAATATACAAAAATTTAGTTCCATGGAAACCAGGGCGTATCTACTTACTTTGTCACACATAAAATGCAACATGTTTTAATTTTTTAGTTCTAGGGACAGTGTTAGGTAGCGATAGTTAACGTAAGATATCACTATGTTGCATTTTTATTGAACTAACACTAGAACGTTTCGAGTTTAGTCGTGCGTCATCAGACGCACGGCTAGTTATTAGATCTATTTATTCGTTCTAGTTTTACACTAGCACTATCACTAGAGCTAACACAAGACCTAGAACTAGAATCATTCGGGTTTAGCCCTCTTAGACGTGCGGCTAAACCCGAATGTTTCTAGTTCTAAGTCTAGTGTTTGTTCTGATTGGGCTAAAAATGCGTTACGTAATGAAACTAGTGCAGTAATGAACTTCATTACGTAACTCAAATCACCTCAAATGAGTGTGATAATGATGACTTATCCAAGTAGTAGTAGATAATAGTTATTTACATTACAAGTGGGTTGGAAACATAATTACTGTACGACGAGGTCGTCTAATCACACGAGTACTATAATTATACTCTAGCTCACGTGTGATATACAACATTTTATCTACGACTACTAAAAACTACTTAAAAATCAATTTCTTTAAAAAGGTCTATTTTGACATTTATAAAAATGTTATAAAAACAATTTTGAATTAATGTCAGTTTCAATAACATGTTTACTCATCTGGAGTAAGTGTTTAGAAATGTAAAAACATAACAATTAATGTTTATAATAAATAGTATTGTTTCTCTTTAAATAGGTAGCACTTTTCCTTTTGTATTGTCGCTCGTTTCAATAAATTAAATCTGTTCTGATTGGGCTAAAAATGCGTTACGTAATGAAACCAGTGCGGTAATGAACTTCATTACGTAACTCAAATCACCTCAAATGAGTGCGGTAATGATGACTTATCCAAGCAGTCGTAGATAATAGTTATTTATATTACAAGTGGGCTAGAAACATAATTACTGTACGAGTCTGGAGAATTGCACGACGAGGTCATAGACCGAGTCGTGTAATCACACGA